GGGAAAGGCCCGAGCGAGGGCAGCGGCCCTGGGGGCTGCGCTGGGGTCCGGCCGCTGCTCTGCTGCGACCCTGCCTGCGAGGTGGCTCCCCGCGGCCCTGGCCTCTGAACCTTCTCTGCACAGAAGACTGAACCCTGGGTCCGGGGTGGCCGGAAGCTGACCCTTGCAATTGGCGTTTTAAAATGACATTTTACTTCCCAGATGGACGTGGGCTCCCACCACGGGTTTTCCCTTTTGGTTTTGAAGTTTGAACTGCGCGGCTCCTGACTGGAACCGGCTGTGATTCGGAAAACAGCCCCCAGCCACAAGCACTGCTGCAGAGGAAGACCCTGTGCTGCAGCCCCCACCCCATGAGGCCAGGCCTGAGGACTGCTGGGCCACCCTAGTGCAGGGGCCGAGGGGCGGGCGCAGGTCCCCGGTGCCCTTGGCCACCTTGTTTGCATGCAGGTGACTTGATCAGTGATTTTTGTGAGCGGGCTCTGAGGAGCACCATGCCCCTCTGGGGAGTGGCTCCCCTCTCCCATCGCGTGCCCCCACTTGCTCAGAGCGCTTCTGAGGCAGATCCTGGTGTCCAGTGTCACTGGTGGGAAGTGAAGGTTCAGGCAGGTGCAGAAAACCAAGAGGACAGGACAGGAGGCAGCCCTTCTGCTGCTGGCCTGGCCTCTAGGCCTGTGTCCAGATGGCCTGGGTGAGGCTGCTGTTGGTGCATCTGTGTCCAGTGACCCCAGTCCTCCTGCTTCTCAAGGTGCTGTGGCCTCACTCCTGGGCTTGGTAACATTGCTGGCCTCGGGCTGGTGGGGTGCCAGGGCTGTGAGAGCGCCTGGCTGAAGTGCAGGTGTCCAGCCCAGTCAGCACTGACCGCGCTGGTGTAGGAGCCCAGGTGGAGGGCCCCGTGCCTGAAAGGCAGGTTCTCTGGGAGCCGCTCTGGCTTTGCACCCAGGTGTTTGGGAGGACGGTGCTCCTTGGAGGCCAGCTGTGCTCCTCCCAGATGCCCTGGAGGGGTCATTGCATTGGAGGAAGACACCTGAGATCAGAGGGGCTGAGAGCTGGCCTGGAGGGGCCGGCACCCTGTGTCTAGAGGAGGGTGAAGTGGCAGCTGTCTTCAGAATCAAGGTGACCCAGCAGAGCCTCACCCCGTGTAAGCACAGCCTTCCACATGGACTTCCCTCGGTCCCAGTCCTCTGGGACCTATCCCTGGCTGCCTCTTGCCTGTCCTCCTTACAGGAGCCCCTCCAGCCCTGTGGAGCCAGATGTCCCACCGTGGTTCCCATTGGTGTCCAGGGGCTGTCAGTGGCAGAGGTGCTGCCCACCAACCTTCAGGGCCCTTGGCTGGGGCTGGGCGTGGTGTCCCAGGAAGCAGAGTGCTTCCACCACAGTGAGGCCAGTGTGGGCCTCTGGTCTCCCTGACGGTGGGCGACGTGACTGGGAGGGTTCCAGTGACTGCGTCTGACTTAGGGTTGAGTGGCTTAGAACACATCTGTAAAGCAGGGTTCAGCATGGCTGTCCTGTTCCCTGAACCAGGGGTCGAGGGAGAATCCCAAGACGCCGAATGTTGTCTTCATGTCTAAACGCTGCTGTTGAAAGTCCCCCACCACAGTTGGGGTGCTGCTCTGAGAGCCACAAGTCACTGCCAGGTGGAGGGGCAGAGGCCAGGGCAGGAAGAAGCTGAGGAGCAAGGGACTTAGTGCCAGGGAGGGTGGCCAGCAGCACGGGGACGGTTTCAGTGAATGGTGGCAAAGTCCAGGATCACGGCGTCCCTTGGCTTCCATATCAGCTGTCTTCCATCTGAAGCCACATGGACAGGCGCTGGCCTCTCAGTGGGTCTGGAAAGAGGCGCAAGTGCCTGTGGGAGGGTCCCAGGGCACCTCTTGAAGTGGGCAGTCCCACCCTGCCTCCCAGGGGCTCGGTGCGGAGAGGCAGAAGGTGCTTCCAACCTGAAGAGACTGGCGCCTGCCGGCCAGGTGAACTTGCTTCCTTAAAGCCCTGCTCTGCCGTCAGCTCCCCACGCTGCCTTTGGGGTAGGCTGGAGAGAGCCCCTGTGCCTGCCCTGAGCTGGAGGAGCCCCAGCCGTCCCATGGTGGCAGGGCTGCATGGCCTCCCTGGCGTTTCTGAGGGCCACTGTCCTTAAGAGCCACCTTGTGTGTCGGGTCTCCCTGCTTCTAGGCTGTCGCCTGGCTGTGTCACTGCTCAGAACCTGGTGTGGTTTAGAAAAACCCTCCACCGCAGAGATGAAGTGGAAGGCCCAGGTGCTGGTGTCCGGGGGACTGCCTTCTGGCTGGAAGTCCAGGGCCTCTGGGCGGGTCTTCAGAGATGTCCCCAGCTGTGCTGTGGCAAGGCTGTGTTGACGCTGTGCCCCCCTCCAGCGCAGGCCGTGACCCCTGGAGGATGCTCGTCAGTGCCCTGCTACGCTGCGAGAGGCTGCCCTTCCCACGCCTGGCCTGGGCCTGGGCCTCCTCCTGGCCGACTCCCGGGAGACCCAGAGGAAGAGGCCTGCTGCACACGCCCCCCACAGCCCCCCCGGACAGGACTGCCCCTGTGTTTACCCGTGCCCTGGCCTTTGGGGACAGGCTTGCCCTGGTGGATCAGCATGGCCGCCACACCTACAGGGACCTTTATTACCGCAGCCTCCGCCTGTCTCGGGAGATCTGCAGGCTCTGTAACTGTGTGGATGGGGACCTCCGGGAGGAGAGGGTGTCCTTCCTGTGCGCCAATGATGTCTCCTATGTCATTGCCCAGTGGGCCTCGTGGATGAGTGGCGGCATCGCGGTCCCCCTGTTCCGGAAGCACCCGGAGGCCCAGCTGGAGTACTTCATCCGGGACTCGCGGAGCTCTGTGGTTGTGGCCGGCCAGGAGTACATGGAGCTGCTGCGCCCAGTGGTCAGACGGCTGGGGGTCCCGCTCCTGCCTCTGTCGCCTGCCATCTACCTTGAGGCAGCAGAGGAGCCGGCAGAGGGGCAAGAGCAGGGGCAGGAGTGGGAGTGGGAGTGGCGGGACCGGGGCGCCATGATCTTCTACACCAGTGGGACCACAGGGAGGCCCAAGGGTGCTCTGAGCACCCACCGCAACATAGCAGCCGTGGTGAGTGTGCGGGGTCCTCCCATGCCATCACAATGGACCTGTGGGTGAGGCCCTTTCTGGGTGGCTTAGTCCTGACCCTTGCTCACAGCTCACCACGCTGCACATGCTGCCTGAGTTCTTGGTGACAGAGGGTCACAGGATGCATGACCTCAGCCTCCCTCACCAGGACAGCAGGGTGGGGCACATGAAGGTAGAACAGGCCACTGTGTGGCGTGACTCAGGCCACACAGTGGGTCAGGGCCTGGAGCTGAAGGCAGGAACAGAGTTCAGGTCTGCTCCTCTCTCGTCCCTGCAGTGCTCTGCAGCCTCAGCCCCCATGTGGGCAGAACGTGGGTTGTCCCCTGCTGGCCTCAGACGGCGGCCGTGTGCAGCGGGAGCAGTAGGATGGGGCTCGCTGTGGGTGGCTGGGCAGGCGGCAGGGGTGCAGCCAGCTCTTCTGGTGGTCCGTCTGGACTGCTCTCCAAGCAGAGAGGCCAGCAGGTGTGCAGGGACTCACAGGGGCTTGGTCCACGCCTGCCACGGCCAATGGCAGAGCTCAGTGCAGGCTGTGGTGGTGGCTGTCCCTGTCAGGCCTGAGCTCTGCCGTGACCCGAGGCTCAGGCCTGGACGGGGTGTTTGCAGAGGCCTTTCCAGGGTTGCCAAAGCCCCAGAGGGTGGCTGTGCCCCCGTCCCTGGTGAGCGGTGCAGTCACAAGGCCTCGGTCTGTTCTCACCTCCCTTCATCAGCCATGGGAGGGACAGAGCTGGCCATCCTCGGGGCCTCTGACCCATTCTGGGGGCACACCTGCAGCCTTTGCCGTGTCCCCTGCAGGTTACTGGGCTGGTCCACGCTTGGGCATGGACCAGAGACGACGTGATCCTCCACGTCCTCCCTCTGCACCATGTCCATGGCGTGGTCAACAAGCTGCTCTGTCCACTCTGGGTGGGAGCCACCTGCGTCATGCTGCCTGAATTCAGTGCTCAGCAGGTGAGTCAGTGGGCCTTGGGAGGCCAAGGCAGACTTGCGTGCTGTGGTTCCCGCCCAGGGGCAGGCTGCCCAGACCTGGGGGTTTGGGACAGCCTGTGTTCATGCCGCCACGCCTCTGGGTGCGGAGTCTGAGATGGGTCTGACGGAGCCGGACGGTGTGGGCGGGGGGTTCTGCTGGAGGCTCCCTGGGAGGCCCATACTGCATGCGGCTTCTGGAGGCCGCCTGTGCTCCTGGGCCTTGCTCCTCAGCGGTCTCATGGCCTCCTCTGCTCCTCTCATGAGACCTGGTGGGTCATCCAGCACCCTCTGCCCATTCTCAGACCCTTGGCTCAGCCCACCTGCAGCCCCCTCCAGGTGGGGTGACAGGTTTGGAGCGTAGGGAGGAGGGTGGGGCCATAGTGGCCCTGGCAGCCACTGTGTTGCTCGCGGTTCTTGTGGGGGAAGTCCAGCTGGAGGTTCCTCAGGCTCCCGGCATCGTGGTCCTCCCTGGTGCTTCTGCTAGTGTGGGCCCTGGGGCTGAGGTGGCAGTGGTGAGTCCCCGTGCAGGGCAGTGTCTCCAGGGCAGAGCAGACACTGCTTGGGAGGGGACAAAGAGAAAGGGCCTTCCTTCCTGCGAGAGGCTGGGTTTGGGTCCCTTCTTCGGTTTTCGTCTCCATGGAGAGTGGTGCTGTCGTGCCCTCCCTTGAGCTCGGGCAGGCCTGGCCTGTTCTCCTTGCCCCTGGCTTCCAGGCCTCTGTCCTGTGCTAGAGGCCAGGCTCCCTGTGGCGGACCTGCTGTGGTCACATGGGCAGCAGCCCACATCGCCCCACTGTGTGCAGAGTGTGTGGCCTGCACTCCAGAGGCACAGCCGCCCATCCCTCCTCTGGACCAGGGCCGGGGGCCTTGGAAGTCAGGCCCACACTCCTCAGCTCAGCACGGGGGCCTCCACTGCCT